TTTGGCAGATGATATGATACTATAACGAAGAGATCCAAAAATTCTACCAGAAAACTGAACAACACTTTCAGTAAAGTGGCAGGTTACAAAAATTAAGCTACAAAAATCAGTAGCCTTTCTATATACCAATAACAAGCAATTGGAGAAAGAGTTACAGGGAAACCCTCCCATTCAGAATAGCGCCAAAAAAGATATCTTGGAATAGACCTTACCAAAGACATCGAAGATCTCTACAATGAAAATTTAAAATCTTTAAGAAAGATTGAGGAAGACATCAGAAGGGAAGGACCTCCCATACTGATGGATTGGAAGAATTAATATTGTTAAAATGACCATTCTACCAAAAGCTATTTATAGATTCAATGCAATCCCAATCAAAATCCCCATGACATACTTCACAGAATTGGAAAAAAACATCCTAAGATTCATATGGAAGCACAAAAGACCTCGAATAGCCAAAACTACCCTGAGCAGTAAGAGCAATAGCAGGGGGATTCCTGTACCAGATTTTAAGCTGTATTACAGAGCTATAGTCATAAAAACAACATGGTACTGGCACAAAAATAGACCCATAGACCAATGGAACAAAATTGAAGACCCAAATATGAGTAATTGCAATTTTAGCCACCTGATATTTGACAAAGGGGCCAAGAACATTAACTGGAGGAAAGACAGCATGTTTAGCAAATGGTGCTGGCAAAACTGGATCTCCACTTTTAGAAGAATGAAACTAAACCCCTATCTTTCACCCTGCATAAAAGTCAATTCCAAATGGCTCAAAGACCCCAATGTAAAACCTGAAACTCTGAAATTCTTAGAAGAAAACATTTGGAAAAACATACAAGATTTAGGTGTAGGAAAGGACTTCCTAAACCAGAAACCAATAGCCCAGGAAACAAGGGCAAGAATTAACAAGTGAGACCTCATCAAACTAAAAAGCTTCTGTGCATCAAAGGAGAAAACCAAGGAAACAAACAGAAAACCCACAAAATGGGAGAAAATCTTCACCAGTGATACATCTGATAGTGGTTTAATTACCAGAATATATAACAAACTTAAAAAACAGAGAACGAAGAGAAAAAGCAACCCAATTGAAAGATGGGCTAAGGAGCTGAACAGCAAGTTCTCAAAAGAAGAAGTAAAGATGGCTATGAAACACCTTAAAAGATGTTCAACATCACCAATATTTAGGGAAATGCAAATTAAAACCACTTTAAGATTTCATCCTACCCCAGTCAGACTGGCTAAGATCAAGAGAACAAATGATACCAAATGTTGGAGAGGATGTGGGGAAAGCGGAACGCTCATCCACTGCTGGTAGGACTGCAAGCTTGTTGGAAAGCAATGTGGAGAACTCTTTAAAAAACTACAAATGAACCTGCCATTTAACTCAGTTATACCACTCCTTGGCATATACCCAATGAAATCCTATTTCAGAGACACTTCTACATCTATGTTTGTTGCTGCTCTTTTCACAATAGCTAAGAGATGGATAGCTAAGTGTCCCTCAACTGACGAGTGGATAATGAAAATGTGGTTCATTTATACAATGGAATTTTACTCATAGTAAAATGAAATCATGAAATTTGCAGGTAAATGGATGGACGAGAAACTGTTATACTAAGTGAAGTAACACAGACTCAGAAAAAAATACATATATGTTCTCCCTCATATGTGGCTCCTAGCACCAAATCCTGATAAGTGAGTATGTATCCAGACATAACTACAGGAACTAGGATAATGGAAACAGGGAGGTAAAGGAAAAAAAAGAACACGAAAGAGAAGAACAGTAGGAAACAGGCCTTAATAAGGGAAATGTGGATAAAAATTGGGTTAGTTTAAGGGAGTAGGGACAGAAGGGTATACAAGGAACCAAGGGGATAAAGGGAAAGAAGGAGCTCAAGAGAGGTAGGACCATAGGAGAAGGGTATTAGTAAGGGAGAAAGGGGCGCAATGGGGGCACCTTAATTGGGAAACCATGATGGATGAGTTAGACAATGCGAGAGATAAACAATGCCTAGCTAGTTTTAAAAACCAGAGGGAACCATATTACTTCAACAACCTACTGACAAATTATACATACCAGATCAAGAAATATATGTCCAAGTAAGGTTTATCTGAGAACAATTGGTCTTTGCCCAAGATTTATCTACATGGAACACAGTAAATAAAAGTACCAGACTGGTAGAACTAACCTTCTTGGGTGCTTAACAGACATACTTTGAGACCTATAATAATTTGGTCAGAGGGACATAAAGGACAGTTTTTGCTCCTTGCCCTCCTAGGTCGACAAGTTCCAGGGGACTATGAGCATCTCCCAAAATGCCCTGTAATTGTGGTGTTTCACCTGTCCTCTTGATCAAGGAGGCCGAGGAGACCCCATGAGATGGACTTGAACCAGTGTCCAGTCTAAAAAGTGGAGGGTCAACTCAGAGAAATCATTTCCTCCATGCTTCCAAGCAAAGCCAGCCATGGTCGAGCAGGTCCTTTGACTTATCTTCACATAGGTGGAACTGGTAAAAGAAAGGAGCCAGGGGCTCCTCCCAAGCCCATGTGAC